TGGAGTTGAGATGAAAAATTGAATCACTGGACGTACTGACAGGACGCACCAGGTGCTGCCCTCTGGCATGCGCTTGATCGTGCTGCTGCGGGACCCGTTTCAGGCGCCATTGTTTATAGCACATGTCAATCTCAGGGATCCAAGGTGTCTCTTGGTTGCAAAAGGGTCAAACACCCCGCCCATTTGGAGGGATTCCCACGTTGGGCCTCACAGCCACCAAGGAAATTCGGTTCCCAGTTCCATTTCAATTGGCTGCCGCGCCAGCAAGTTTTTGTTTGTCAAGGAGACCAGTCAGAATGTTGTGGAGTAGCTGAGTAGCTTTGGAACTTCAGCAGGTTCAGGAGGCATGGGCGATTTTGTTTTGGCTGGCTGCCTGCGCCATGTGGGGACTGATGGCGGTCAGTTCATGCGATCCAATCGAACGCCGCGTCCGAGATCATGCAATCTCAGTACCAGCTCTTTTGCAACAGCACCTGGTCAACGCTAGCAGGCGCAGATGAGTGCAGAGATTGATGTCGGGCCAGAATATGCCAAGAGGGTGAGCCGTTAGAGACTGATTTACATCCGGAGAAGCAAGTGGTACCAGCGCGAAGATGTCATCTTTATAGGGTTGCCTTTCGAATGAAGTAGCCAAGCAAACAAATGCCTTTAGGTGCTCCTGACGGTTTGGGTTCTGCTACAGACGCACATCGATTATCGCTTGCCACGTTTCTGCAGGAATGAAGCCGGCGGAGATGCATCCCTTGCTTTTCGCCCCCGCCATCTTTGCTCACGTGCGAACCAATGACCGGCTTGGGAATGGGCCTACAGTCAGGTCAAGTTCGTGAACTTGGTAGAGGGATTTGACACTTACAAACGCTGCAAAATGCGTGCCGACAAGCATACCTTGGAGTCAATTGCATGCCATAGGCCACTGCCAAGAGAGTCAGATCCCTTTCGGATCACTGCGAGGACGTTTGGTACCACTTTCTCTCCTGGTACAAGTGCTGCTGGACGGACCCACAGGCAGGGTGGCATTGCAGTCCAACTAAGTTGCGCAGAAGTCTTAGCCGGCCTCTCAAACGTTCTGACTAGCCTGGCTCGCAGGTTCTTTGGATCACCTACGAGGACGTTCTACACCGGGCTGTGTGAATGTCATTATATTCAAGACATGAGACGCCAGCTGGCGTCAGGGAGTGCAGGAAATCTGCTGATACCAACAAGTATGACGGAACTCTGTTGCTGCCAACTTCCGCAGTTAATAACATAATATATTGTAATGACGAAGTGGAATCCATCCAGCATGCAAGCCTGGCCTTCGCAGCATTCGCCCGCAGCATGCACCCGCATGTACTGCGAACGTGTCAGCCAAGCATGCCTTGTTACATCTAGCGTGTTATGAGCTGTGTTAAAGCTCTCGTATGCAAATTCCAATTCTCATCGTCTACATATCGCAAGTAACCTTTTACCAAGACTCCTTTTTCGTGGAAGCCTTCCGGCTCTTGAATGAAGCACTAGCGTTTGGCACGTCCGCTGGTTGCTGACTTTGTGCTTGATCCCGGCGCTGGGAAACTGGCTAGGACTTCGTGGACGATCCCCAGCGCCAGACTCTTGGCCGCAGAAGCCTCGGGGCTCAGCTGGCGCTAGATTTTCAAATTCGAGTGGATCAGTCTAGTTGAGGTCACAAAGAGTGGACTGGCAGAGTCTTGAACAAGCGTTCATGTAGGACCAGCCCCTTTTGGCCTCCCCTGATGTGATGGACGGGATGGTTCCCAGATTAGGAATCGCAGATTTGCTGGATGCTCATCCGTCAACTTCGCTGTCGGGAACCAGCGCTTCTGAAGAGATATATCATGTTTAAGAGAAGTGACTGGGACATGCTAGGATTTGTTTGTATCAGCCCTGAAGCCGGCAAAGGCCGCTCCATGCAGCCAGCTCAGGATCCAGAAGTTGGCAGACTTCTTGCCGGAGCATCCAGGCATGTTTTGTGTGCAACCTTACCAAAGAATTGTTCCCAAGTCAAAGTCAATCGATTCCATGGATTTATGAGGGTGCAGATGAAGCGGGCATGCATGCGCATGCCAGCACCCACCTTCACAACAATCCTTCCTGGCGGCAGGAGCGGAGACCATCAAGAAGGTTGTCCAGCAGAGCAGCAGGCACTTCATGATGCAGTGTCTTGAATGAACGACAGTCATGGCACAAAGTCGGCTTGAGTCTTGGTTCAGCCACGTGAGCGCATTGCGCGTACGTTGCGTTGCCCTTTCGCGCACTTGTGCATGTCTGTGTGTGGGCCAAAATAGTTTTTGTGTGACAGTGTTTTTTTCTTAAGTGTGGATGTGAGTGTATGTATGTACTTGAAGGTTTGCATATTTAGGCAGGGCGTTGTTCGTTTCTGTGTGCCTTGCTTTGCCTTGAGCTGTTTTGCATTGCTTGCATGTGTACCATGGCCTTTACTTGGGGTTGACAGGGATCGTCATTTGTTTGGTAAAGATCCTGAAGAAGCGTGTTATTGATTCCTTTTAACTGCACCATGATCATAAGCCATTTGAGGAGTTTTGAACGTGGCTCATGTTTTTTTTGTTTTTTTTGTGTGTGTGTGTGCGAGACGGACTCATTTTGCAATACATCGATGCCTGCCATCATTGACTTGACAATATCGACACAGCTGTGAGGCATACTTCGAAGTTCGATTATCACAGCTTGCTGGAAAAGGTGGAGCTCTTTCGAAAGGAAGGCATCCTGGCTGAACACACACACACAGCAGTGTTCTGATCACTTTTGGAGCGCCATCATTCATGCTTGTGTCGCTCTTGCTTGTTGACAATAAGGTTCGCCAGCCAGCATGCCCCGTGTGTTGGACGATACGTCGTTTGAGGCCAGGCTGGACGGGGAAGTAAGCTCTCACGCGCTAAAGATGTTGTCAGAGTGTGGCGGACTTCCGACAGGGCTAATCAGTACCCTACCCACCAGAATCTCAGAAAGTGGAGCAGGTTCTAAGCCTTTGGGCTGTGGGGCTGAGGTGTTTGCCATTAGCACGTCTTGTTCAGCTTTTGCACGTGCTTGGTATGCAAGGAGCCAGATGCCAGATGCCCGCCTTCGCTTCCTAAGTCTGCTTGTCCTGTTCAAAGTCATCCATCCAATTGGCCCAGTCAGATTCCGTGGGAACCCACCAAAATGCAACTTTGGAGATGGACATCTAGTCACCCCCTGCCAATCATGTGCACCTTGCTTTCATTGCCTGCCATCACTCTCTCAGCAGATGTCCGATCGCGAGGTGGACCCCAAAGTCAAAGAGCTGCTAGACGTGCGGTGGGAGAGGACCGCCATAGTAATCCTCGAGAAAAAAGCCGGCGGTCATTCAAGATAAGCAGCGTAGAGACAAATCGAGTATGAGCTACATGCAAAAGGAAAGGATGTCAACAAGACGCTGAATGGAGTGAGTCTTTGTGGTTTGTTGAGTGTCCTTCCTGTTTCTCGGGAATAACAAGCCCAGCACATGTCCGGGTGACCAGGTTTGCTCAGAGCGGAACGCGACAAGTCTGAGAGGATACGCAATTGAGGCTTGCTGGTCCTGTGCTGTTCAGCCCGCATACTTTTGCAGACATATCAAACCACTTTCCACACCTTTTGCACCACCCATGTCTACATATATATATATACACATATTTCACCTCATCTGCTTACCACATCGTCAAACCCTTGTTCAAAACTCCACCAAGTTCTGACATCAGCCCGACTCGAGACTCTCAGGATCGTGGCACCTGCCACCGGCTTCGCCACGTACGGGGAGATGCGCCGCGCCGTGGCTGCGCGCAGCGCGTGGAGAGCCGAAGGAGCGGCGGAGTGGCCAACTTTCTCCAAAAAGTCTTCAGGCTTTCTGTTGGTAGTTGCCTGGCGGGAAGCAAAAGGAGCCAGGGAGCTGGCGGTATCCCAAATTGACAACAAGGGGAGCTACCGGGAGTTCTATAAGGACACGGTAGTTTTCAGGGCCTCCTGTTGTTTTTCAGGTTCGCCTGAAACCAGATGCGTGTGTGTGTGTGTGTGTGTGTGTGGCGTGTGTTTGTGTTTGAGGGTATTTTAGGATATTTCAGGTTGGCTTAGAGAAATGTTGGGGTTGGTAGAGATGCTCATGGATCCTTGAGCAGGGGTTTTGGAATGTGATGACAATGGTTCCTGTTGTGGGAGGAGTTTTGAGTTTGGTACAGAGCTGTCCACAGAGCCCTGCTTTTGACTTGTACCGCCCGAGAGGGTGCGCAAGTTCGAGTGAGCCCTGCATATAAAGATGAGCGCCGTTGATTTGTTGTCATGCAAACCCACACTGAGCCATGCTTCAACGGCTTCCGAGTGTTACAGTAGTAGTAGGCACCATTCACACAGTGTTCCCTATATTTTCCCTTTTGAATTTAAACATAAAACTTCGGGCCACCATTATATAGATGAGTTTCCTTTTGGTGGGCGGGGAAATATAGGGTGCCCTGTTGGGGCTGGGAGCCAACCATACAACCGCACAACACCAATGACCACGCAGCGCAACAACGCCATTTACGGCTTGCCGCGTGTACAGCTCGACAGCTCGCAAGCACGGCCCAAGTGCGGCACGAGACCCTAAGCTCCAACATACAGTACTGGACAACCCCAGATGATATGATGATTGACTTTTGATGCGCTTTCAGACATGAAGCTTTTAAAAGCACGGGCGGAAGCAAGCGCAAAACCGAGTTCAGGCTCAGCCAAAAGCAGCCGAACCACAGACTCACGAAAAGACACACAAACAACACACAGATAAATTAATACACAACAAGTTAGCCTTGAACTCAGAAGCAAAAGCTCAAGACAAAGAGTGCAAAACACCTCGAGCTCGCTCCTCCCGCTCGAGTTTGAAGCTGAGTCTGGAGCTGAGGTGTTTTAGATGTGTGCGATTTCTGAGTGTTTGGGAAGAGGTTTTGTTGTGGAGGGAATCTGAAGTGATCCTTCATGAAATAGAAAAGCAGCACAACAGGAAAAAAAAACACAAGTTCAGCCCCGAGACAAATTCCAAGGGACGTGCATGTTTTGCCGGCCCCGCTGTGTTTCCTTTGAAGTTTGGTGGCTGATGTGCTTTGTGTTTTGACATTTTTTGTTTTGAATTTTCAGGTGGGGTTTGGTTGGGGAGGCAATCAGCTGTTTTCCCCTACTAGAAACTCCAAAAAACACACACACATCCACTGCAAGAAACGCAAAGCAATGCAACAAAAAAACAGCAAACGCAAGCCCTGGACAAATTCGAAGGAAACGGGGAGGGGCTGGCATGCCGGTACAATTTGCATGTTCCAGGAATTTGTTTGGATGTTGTTGGCGTTCTTATTGTTTGTGTGTGTGTTTGTTTGGTTGTTTGCCGGGGGAAAGCTGCAGATTCTTTTTGCAACCAAACCTCTGCCTGAGCACATCAAGCCAAACCACCCGAGACAAATTCGAAGGAAAGCGCGGGGCAGGCAAGAATTGCATTCTCCTTCGAATTTGCTTTGGGGAGGAGCTGTATGTTTCGCGAGTGTTTGTTTACGCGGGGGGAAAACTGTTGATTCACTTTCCAACTAGACCCTGACCAAAAAAAGCAATAAACGCAAACTCAGCTCCAGAATCAACATACATCACAAAACATGAGTTGTGCTTGAGTTTGCTGACTTGGTTTCTTTTTGAGACTTCCCAAATTGGATGTATTCAAGGTTAAACGTTTCGGATCGAGCTGTTTGCTTTGCGTTGTGTTTGTAAATTCCTAGATGTGTGGCCTTTGTGGGCTAGATCATGCCATAAGGGAAGGGGCGTGCATGAAGCTCATTTAATTGAACAAGGTATCCAGACAAGAAACGGATCAATAGTGATTAGATTTGTTTTGCTTTCGTGATGGTCTGACCCGGCTAGTCGATGAGTTTGCATGCGGTAACCAGCCGCTCCATCGCAGCCCTTGGCGACAGGAGTCCTGGACCTGTCTCCGCATGCAGGAGTTTCGTAGCTTAGCCCCGGAGTGGTCGGCGTGGAACGCGGAGACCCTGCACAGGGAACATTGCAGAATCGTTGTGCGATTAGCGAAGCTGGTGGGCATGGATTTGTTACAAATGATGGCCAAAGAAGGATTGCTTTGCTTTGCTTTGCTTTGCTTTGCTTTGCTTTGCTTTGCTTTGCTTTGCTTTGCCTGCTTGCCTGCTTGCCTGCTTGCCTGCCTGGTTGGTTGGTTGGTTGGTTGGTTGGTTGGTTGGTTGCATTCTTGGTTACTTGTTGGTTGTCTTGTTTATTTGGCTTGTTTGGCTTATTGCGTTGAACTTGTTTGCTTCACCTGTTGCTTGCCAAGCACTAGACAGCTGTTCCTTGTTCCACACTAGAGCGTTTGGGTTATGAGCTATCGGGGGAACATCTCTCCTTGCCCTTGTGGTACATGCGTGAACTCTAAAATTCGCAGGACTCGGGCACTGCCATGAAAAGTATGTCCAACAGTGGTTGTTGCCGATACAGCAGAAGGGACAACCCGCAGGTTTGGGATTCGCGATGACCTCGAATGGAGTGGTTCGTCTGACACAGTGTTGAGATGGTGAGCCATGAGCCCATGGCCCCAGCTCCGAGGCATTCGCTGATTGCATCGCTTCTGCTGATGGCGTTGCTGGTCGCCTTTGTGGGCGAGAAGCTCAGAAAGCTTCTGAGAGCGGAAAACGACAGCTTTCTGCCATGGCACATGGTCAAAGAAGGTGACACGGAGCACATTCTCCAAACGCACCGGTTGGTTGCAACACGTTGGAACAATCGGGACTGGCCCCAAACTGCTCATCCCTTTGGGGCGAGAGCTTTGATATAGCACAAGCTGTCAGCTTAGCGTTTGTTGGTTTGCGTTTGATTCATATAGGGCATGCGCAACTAAGCTAGTCACCTGAGTGGTGTTTTTCCCCGCTCAAGCAAACATGTATAGGTGTTGACATATCAACAAAAACGGTAGCGCCGCACTGCGGCCGCGGAAGGTGTGCGGAAGGCGTTTTTCCCGTGGAAGCTCGCGGAAGGAACCTTGTCGATTTGCACATTTGATTTCAGGTGGGTTGCCAAGCACGTTGCTTAGCAAACCGAAGGCCTGCGGAAGCACTTATACAAGCTTATATAGAAGCATGCTCGCAGAAGGTACCCTTCACACTGCGGAAGGTTTCGCGGACAGGTTTGTTACGTCAATGCAAACTTAGAGGGAATAAAAACCACCACTCACCCATATACAGATATTGTTCTTAACAGAGCATGTGCGTGTGTGCCATTTCTGCCGTAGGTTGTGACCTCTGAAATTGTTATTGCGTTGAAAACAAGGCAGCCGACAGCAAGTAAAGCAAACCACAGGTGCATGCTGGTTGTTTATATCAACATCATGACTGCAGTATGTGGGTGTGGGTCAAATATGGGTACCCAAAATGGGTTACCTGGTAAATGGACACATGAACTAAAACCTGCGGTACCCCTGTGTTTAATTTTGACTCATACCCATGTCACTATGAGATGACACTTCCTGTCTCCCGCCCAGGCTTGCAGCCCAGGCTTGCCCGATCGCTGGCGCTGAGGCGAGAAGCAAACACGTGCTTCAGGGCACCTACCTCATTGCACTTGCGCAATCCATTTCTCGAAGTCGTGCTCAGAACGCTTGTCATTTTGTGGATAAAACCCAGAGAGCGACCATCACATGAAATGCTACAGCAAATGAGGTACAAATGCAGACGTGAAACGGACACGGACATTTGGATAAAAGTCATTTACGTGAGTACAATGCTTGTATGACTCGACTTGCTAGACAGCCCCAAGCTCGCTCGCCTTGGCGTCAGGTTTTCTATCATGGCACGCGCACGTGCCAGACAGATCATGCGCATCTTGGCTGCAGCACAGATGCCCAACATGAAATGGCAAATGCACGCCTCCGAAGCACAACGAGTTCTCCAAAGCAACTGTAGGTTCTTTGAGCATGTCGTGATAGTGAGTGTCAGCTAGGGTTTTACATACCAGCAGGTCCTCATGCTAAAAAGTTTGCTTGGACACGCGCGATTCACTTCATCATTTGCTGGAAGACTGCGTTAAGGAGCCACATGTGATTGAGCTAGATGCTGCACCTGCACACTCAGTCTTTTTGGGCCATTTTTGAAGCAGGTGGGCCTGGTGGCTTCATTTGGTGTTCTGGTTTCGGACCCCGCTTGCCTGAGGCCACTTCTCGGACTCGAAGACAGGGCTGCGCGCGCATTGCACTGTGAGTTCCTCAAGAACTGGTACCCATGCAAAGCGAGTAAAGACGCCAAGCGGAGTCAATGTGCAAACGTAACGCTTGCGGGTGCCCATGACATGCGGAAAGTGGTGCTTGCTCCCTGGAGGAAAGCTGACCCAGAGATCTACGCCGCGCGGACTGGCTCCGGGTTTGTTGTGTGAATCGTCTTGCAACGTCCAAGACACCCAAGCAGAACGACAGCGCCCTAAGGAGTTGGCTCAGTGACAATGAGTGCCATATCTATGCAGCATCATGCAGTGTGTCATTGCACAACGTTTCAGCTTGGGGAATGCTTCTAATTTAGTAGGACTCATGATGAAGATAGCTACGCCGCGGGAAAGTCCTGGGGCAACGCGCTAATGAATCGCGCTTCCATGCGAATGCCCGAAAAGGACCTGCCGTCCGTGCTGCGTTTAGTCGTTGCAGGCCATGCAATTCAGAATTACCTTGCGGTTCACATGAGCTGCTGCAGACAGTTTTCATATCATTTGGTGTTGTCCATGTTTTCTTTCACATGCATGGAACTGTTGGAGCTACTGGTACTTGCTAGTCAGTCGACTCAAACTTCACTGTATGTAAAATCACTGAATCAAAGTGGGCAGAAGCTTCTGAAATAATTTAATTGAGTAGGGTTTCTCATGCGGCGGATCCCAGTTGAAGCAAGGAAGCAACACTCAGCATGCAAGTCATGTGTGAAATACATGAGATCTTCAAAGACATACATGACGATACCATTTCAGCATATGGCAATGCACCGACTCCGCCAACTCCCAAGAGGAGGATCTCTTCACGACAAACAACTCGGAACTACCACAGGGGTTTTCGGAACAGCGTCTCAAGAAGAATGTGGGAACAGCATTAGACCGCACCCTCGCCACCTCCCCTCGCAGGCGCTGGTGTTGGCCCCGACCCGTGAGCTGGCTCGGCAAATCCAGCTGGAGGAGCGGGACAGGAGTCGCTCCAGCTTGCTTTTTTGCAGTCTGAAGGAAAAAGGGGTTCGGTGTCAAACAAGTGGCTTTCTCCCATGCCCAACCTTACTTCTTAGATCAATCCATGAACTCGCTCGGTCCACTTGGGCATCTTTGTTTGAGGGGAGCACCAACAACTCTGCGCTATTTGTTTTTTTGGTAAAGAATGAGAAAAGGAAGAGAAGTACCGAGTCCTCCGAAGGGACAAAGTGGCACAGCCTCGAGGCGCTGCGCTTCGGCCGCTCCGCGGGGATCCTGTGCTGCTCCTGCACCGGGGGCGAGTCCAAGGGCGAGCAGCTGGAGGCGAAGCGACGTTCGAGCCAGTCCAAATTCGTGGGGACGAGCCGCTTGCAGCTGGCACTTTAACGGATATCAAGGTGCGTAATGTGTGTGTTGCATCTGAAAGGAGACCCGTTTAGAACAAACATGTACAGTTGAGTCTCAGAGACCCGACGATTTGTGTCTCGTCAGGGCAAGCTTGGTCTATGGATCACAGGCAGTCAGCTAATTTAATTTCAGCCAATGGTTCGCTCTTGAACAAACCCCGCTGGGTTAAGACAGTCAAAGTCGGTCCTGTTTGGTCTTCTCCAGGTTTAGGCCAATAAGACTGGCAATAGACCTAGTTTTCAAGGTCTTTGTGGGCTCGCTCGAGACGGTCATGATTATTCTGAGGGGAGTGGATTGCTCGTTTAGGGAGGTGACAGGGCCTTCAAGGAGAGGTGCCCTGTGTGAGATTGCCAAACCTTGGTTCTTCAATCTGACCAATGTCCAGTGGTCTTGAGATCTGGAAGGGCAATCCTTGGACCTTAAAGTGGGGCGTAGCATTTTGGAAAGTGCGTCTTGAAAGGGGAGTTTTGGTGGGTGCCCAAAGCTGATTACGTTTTGCTTGACCTTGCGGGTGCCTTTAAAGTGGTGTTGGCAAAAGGAGGGCCAGGCGAAAGTGGTAGTCTTCAATCGGGGAGGGGGGGGATTATAAACCGCAGGAACATTGCACCGAAGGAATGGATATCAATACTCATGAAGCCTTGTTGCCTGCTTCATTTGCATGTACTGGTTTTGGCTTTCTTGCGCATCTTTTTGTTGTGTGTGCCTGTGCATAATCATAGATCTTCCCGCTCTCATCTACTTGTGTTTCTATCTTGAGAAGGTGCTGTTGCAGACTTCACGGCTATAGCTTTGCGCAACATTTGCCGGCGGCCGACAGGAATTTGATTCTTTCTTCCAGGGATGTCCCTGCTTGCCGGTTTGTTCACGGCTTGCATCGGTTAACAAAGGATTTGGGGTGGCTTGGTGTGACTGCTTGGTGCTACCATAGCTATGCTTTTGGAGAGGCGGTCTTGTATGGGTCCAACAAAGTGTGGTGCTGCAAGCACTATGTTCAGTGTGTCACCTAATTGCGGATATGATAGCCATCAAACAGATGGCGCGAGCGTTGGGCAGCACGAGGGAGCACTCGCCCTACCCGCCAGTGGCTGAAGCGGGGCTGCCACATCATTGTGGCGACGCCCGGAAGGCTCAACGAGGACTGGACTGGATGTCGAGCATCTTCGCGACGTTCGCGTTGGGGCTGAGGTCGATGTGACTCAAGTCCAACGGTTGGGTGGTAGGAGAACTTCCACAACTGTTGTCAGGCATGAGCCCCACTCGCAGGAAGGCAACCAATAGCTATGATGTTGCAGAATGCTCACCAATACTGAATGAACTCAATATTTCAGGTCATGCAAGTTTGTTGCCATTCGTGCTCAAAAAGTCCAAGCTGCTTGATGGTCAAAGAATGGGATTCAGATGCACTGGTGTCGTCCATGTAATACTGTGTGTGTGTGTGTTTCCTTCGAGGCCTCGGCAGTGTCAAGCATGTCAAGTGGGCAGGGACTACCTAATGCTGCACAGCTGCTTCGAATAAACCTTCATGCTTGGGATCTTGTTCAGGTAAGCTGCGGGCAGAGTTCTCAATCATGTACACAACATGCGGTCCCTTATGTTCCTTGCAATGTTTTAAGCGCATCTCTTGTTGATCGTTTTGCGCGTTCATCCTTATTGGGAGCCGCTGCTTGTCCCTAAGGACAAGTAGCACTGATAGTGTCTGAAATTCTGACCAAAATAACATGGATATTATGTGTTTGTGACAATGCACAGTCTTGTTCTGCACAGGGTCGCAATGCTTACACGACTCACGCGACGCGTTCAGTCGCTTCAGCATCCACGTTTTGCCGCCGATGTAGACCAATGCTCCGCGCCCGCAGTTCTGCGAGAAGAAGCAGGTCTGGCTGGGCCAAGTCTCGTACCTCACCTTGGACGAGGCGGGGCTTTGTTGATTTGCAAGGCAAGGATGGCGCATCAATCCAATATAACATTGTCAAGCCATGCGATCCTAACTCAGCAAGCATCCTGTGTATTTCCAAACCATTTCAAGTCACACCACCCGAAGCAGTCAAATATAGCATATCGTAACATGCCAAGCATGCGTTGCTACCGTGATAGATGCAACGCGCTGAGCGTGCTGGCACGAGCCATTGTGCCATGGTCACTTCAACAAGAAGTCCTATGCAGCGAAGCATGACCTGGCGTTTTGATAATATGTTTTGACCATGGCCTAAATATGATTGCGTCAGCATTTGTTGCCTGGGTGGTGTTTGGTTGTCCATGACACGCAGCCAGAGATCAAGGGTTCAAGAACGAGGTGGGAACAGGCGACCATTCAGGTAGCAACTAACTGCCGTAACTCATATCATATTTGGCATATATATATATATAATATATATATACACATATTGGATTGTGGAGTTGGGAGGTACTTGCACACCTGCGGGGTGCGTGACACATTTTTGAGAAGGCAGAGGCGTCCTATGGCCTTAGACCTTAATAAGCAGCCGTGTCCATGTCCACTCCTTTGCTTTTGTCATAAAAAAGAGAAGGCGGCCCCGACTGGCTGGAACCCCCCTGGCAGAACCTCGCACGTTTGACTTGGACTTCGTCTAAGTTCGCGGAAATTCCTCTCTCCCTGCCTGTAAGTTTTTAAATTGAGTACCAGGAGGTTCGCGCCAGTTCATCGCGGAGCCCCTTCGCGGAACTCTGTTTTTGAAGGTGAAGTTCGCAGACGGGCCCCCCCAAAAACAAACAAACAACAACAACAAGAAACCCGTGTCATTTTGCGGGCAACCAATTGTTTTACTTTTTTTGGTTGCCAGTCGTTTCCACCTTTTCACCAGGCAGACCGGATGCTGGACATGGGCTTTGAGCCCCAGATCCGGAGGATCATTGAGGAGACGAGGGGGGCCAGCGGCTCGCATCGGTTTCACTTTGCTGCCGAACTCGTGGTTTGTTTCAGGGTATATCACTCGAAATCACCAAGTTGGTCTCTCGCCAAAATCCTGACTCGCTACTTTGCCCTCATGTTAGGCCTGGTTTTAGCTGCCCAGGGTGTCATTGCGCTACTAGGAGAAGGTCATGTTTCTGAGTTTGTTGATTTGTGCTTGAAGAATTTGTGATGGGCAGCTGACAACAGCGTGACTTGATTCCGCTTTTGCAACTCAGAACACCTTCCGCATCTATAGCCCACTTTGTTTTTCCATTCCCTGTGCATGTGGCGCTACAAAAGGGTTTCCCTTTGTGCGTTTTGGGGTGTAAGAAACACAGGGGTTGTCCAGCAAATAGGAAGCGGAGCCCTCCAAGAACAAGTGGGGTGCTGTGGTTTTCTTAAGCATGAAGAAAGGGTCCCACTCTTGGAAGCAACATGGGGGGTACGTCACTCCCCTTCCCCCCAAAAAACCAACACAAAACAAGGCTTCGTTTTTTTGCAAAAAAACAACAACACTGCGTTTCTGGGAAAAGGGGTCCCCCCCCACAAGAAACACAATCAACAAAAATGCAAGGCGATATCACCTGAACGTTTCGGCCCTGCGCAATTCGGCTTTTTCTGCGCCGGATGGGCATCATGTCTTATTTCGATTTCTTTGGGATCCCTGGAAGATGAGCTTCCTGGACATTTTTTTGCGTACCCTTTCTTGGGCGTTTCATGATTTAAGGCGTTTTTGGCGATTTGTTGTATTTTGGGAAGATGTGCGCTTTTGTGCAGTTGTTTGCGGGCGTTGTGCGGCTGTTTGTGGGCGCATGTGGGCGCTGTGCGGCCAGGTGTGGGCGGTTTTCACTGCTGAGGCGTTTATGGCAATTTGAGGGAGTTAGCTTCGTAAACTAAGACAAACACAGAAACTACAAGAAAATAGTACGATCAGGCAATCTTTTGGATCCTGCCCTGGTGAACACGTGCGTGCATTGTCGATGAACAAAGCAGGTCTGTGGTGTGAGTGTCCTTTCATTGCCGCGTTGTGAGAAGATGTGCAAAGTGTTGCCCCCTACACAGTACCCGCCTCTTCAACATGTACTCTCAAAAAGCTGGTATTTGGAGTACGGGATATGCCTTTCACAGTCCCAAATTGAATGGTTGGTTTCCTCGTTTCTTCCCTTGAACACCAAGGGGAAAGGGTCTTTTCTGCCCCTAAAACAACCCACAAACCAGCACCCTGATGGGTGTACGGTGACCCGGCGTCAGGAGTGCCCTCGCGGCGCGGACCGCCAGACGCTGCTTTTCAGCGCGACCTGGCCGAAGGCGACGTGCCCAAGGGTGCGTTGGATTGGCCGGAGCCAACATTGGACCCTGCCCCGTACAATGTAGGAACACATGGTGTTGATGGACAACATTCCGTTGCTAGGTGGTTTGTCCCATTCATAGGGTCAGCCCTGGTGCTGGATTTTGTGCATCCACAGTACGTTCAAAGAAGATCTGGCCGTGTTTAAAGGACGCGCCTCCGCAATCAACTCTACCAATAGAGGCAGGGAACGATTCTCAAACCAAACGACAACCTGGTGATTACAAACCCGGTACTAGTACCAAACTTTTGAAAATTCATGAGTTGGGGGGAATGTGGCACACAATGCACACACAAATCAGGAAGTTAGGCAGACATACAACAGCTGAGCCCCGAACCGCAGGCTGAAGATTGCAAATGTGTTTGTGCGCAAATAACGGATCCATAGTTCTGAAGCAGGTGGACCAGTTGCCCGATGGGTGACGCGTTTCAGTGGCGAGGCGATGTGCGTAGCGATCTTACCAACGAATCCAGCCCCAGTCTTCCAGAGTGAGCGATAGGTTGTTTCCGATTCCCACTTGAAAGCTTTCGAGGCACGCTTGGGTTTTACACCCATTCCTTCAGGATCCATCCTGTTGTCTTACTTCGCCCGCGCCTTCAGCCATTTTGCTCATGATGACAGGGCACATGGACAAGCCCAGCACGTGCATGATATCCAGCCTGTCTGGCGTTGCCAAATGTTCTTTGCAAGCGGACTGCCCCAACTGCATGAAATGCAACCCACACATTACAACCAGGCGCGCGCATCATCGCGGCATTTTTGTGACACGTCGCAAGTCACTTCAGGCTGGACCTGCGGTTTGCATGACATGGTTTGTCAAGCAAATTGCGTCATGCGCGGCAATCTTGCATCATGACTGAATCATTTGTGCCCATGATATGGCTTGCTCACACTTTGGGCTACACCTTTGTTTGCATTGAAGTGGATTCGTGAGGGACCAAAGGGTGTGTTCTTTCCAGCAGAGCAGCATCTTCAGGCTTGAGCATGGTGTCGAAGACGCCGACGCCTCAGGTGCTCAACGATTGACAAGCCAACAAACCAACAAACCAACCAACAAACCAACAAACAACAAGCAACCACAGAGGAAACAAGGAAAAAACGAAAAACAAACTCCAAACGAACAACAGACAACAGACAAACAGCCAACGCACA